ACAGGTGAATGTGTTTTTATTACAAGTCAGCAGCTACAGTTTTTGTAGCTGCTGACTTATAATAAAACACAAAACTGACTGGAACTTCCCGCCCACCCTATAGCAGAAATACTGTTACAGGGCGGCACGGGTGCGCAAAATCACATATACGTGATTTTGCGTTTCCGGGTACGGGGCGCGCGCCCTACCTGCGCCGTCATTGGCAGATGTGGCTGTCAATCACCGGGTCCCACCCGGTGATTACCCGCCGGCACCTGGTGATTACCGACTATCACCGACGTGGAGGAAGGCTGCTTTGTTTACTACAGTGTCAGTACTCTTTTTTAGCACTGATGAATTGATGTCACTGGGGATGTCAGTAACACCAAGTCAATTCCCCCCAGTGTCAAAATGCCCACTGCAGTCCCACTATAAGTCGCTGATTGCTGTCATTATTAGTAAAAAAAAAATTAAATTCCGTTATCTATACCATTTGTAAGCGCTATAACGTTCACATAAACCAATTCATTTACACGTATTGTGATTTGTTTTTTAGCAAAGACATGTCGCAGAATACATTTTGGCCTAAATTTATGGCAAAATTTTATTTTTTATTTATTTTTTTTTACTGGACATGTTTAAATGCTTCCACGCCGCCCAATAGTAGAAATACTGCTACGGGTGCACAAAATCGTGTGTGTGTATATGTATGTATATGATTCGAACTCCCGCGGTTTTCGTGGCCCTCCCAGATAGCGTCAGATTGCCCGTCAGTACACCAGTAATCACATTTAACTCCTTGATTGCCAGGGACACGCTCACATACACAATAAACCTCCATTGCTTGTATAGTTTCTGAACGGATCAATATCTGTGATCAGATCAGCACTATACCAGCATTCACATTAGTATATTGTCCCCAAAAACGCAGCATTAGTGGGATCATCCCCGGAACCTGCATTTAGCCCCTACACCTACCCCCCCCCCCTTCTCCCCCAGCAAGTGCAGTGTCAGGAGGTCACTATCACTTGATACATTACACACAAAACCGCAGTGTTCGCAGAATCAGGCCTGATCTCTGTTAGCACTTGCCAGTAAATTTTTTTGTAGCGGTTTAAGCAGTCCCCAACAGCCAGGTGCTCTTCTTCCCATGAGTCGCACTAGGTACCTATAAATTTAGTGGCCAAAATGACAATGGACAAGTGCACAAGTGAAGAGGCCACAAGATTCTGAGCATGTCAGGTGAGAGGAAAGGGGAAGACTCACTGAATCAGTCTCAGAATACGAACCTGCAGACAGCAGCAGCAGCATCCTGACAGATAGCTCAGACAATGGAGAAGAGGTCCCTGCAAGATCAGGCGTAGCCGACCCCATTCCCAGGTTGTTGAGATTTTACAAACGAATGATGACTCTCATATGCAGCAGAGTGCCAGTACTAGTGCCGCTCTACCTTTTGGTGAACTGGCGAGCACCAGCGGTCTAGTACATCCTGGTCTCTCACATACCAGCATTGCAGTATCACTTGGTGACGTGGCGAGTCCCATAAGTGCAGTACAAGCTGGTGTGGTGACGAGCACAAGTAGTGTCCCGCAGCCACCAAGAATTCGCACACAGGCCCGTAGAGCCCCTAGTATCCTTCTGGATGTGCCTGCAATGATTGGTAGCCCACAAATTCTGCAGCACCCGTACTTCCCCCATTCACTGCCCAACCCGGAATTCAGGTGGAAACAGCAAATGTAACTACTCCCCTTGATTTTTGGAGCTGTTTTTCACAGAAGATCTTTATGCATTGATTGTGGATCAAAACAATTTATATGCACAACAGTTTATCGCCGCCAACCCAAATTCAAACATTGCCAGACCATTCACATGGAAACCCATTATGGTTTCCGAATTTAAAGTTTTGGGCCTAACCCTCAACATAGGCATTACTAAAAAAATTAATTACAGTTGTATTGGTCCACAGACCCAATTCATCATATGCCCATGTTCTCTGCTGGCATGGCCAGGCATGAGATATGAGAGTATAATGTGTTTTATGCATTTCAATGACAACACACTCTGTCATCCTCGGGGTGACCCTGAATTTGACCGGCTCCACAAAATTCGTCCACTCGTAAATCACCTTAACCAAAAATTTGCAGATGTTTATACTCCCCAGCAAAACATCTGTGTTGATGAGTCCCTCATAAATCTTTCTGGTCGCCTTGCATTCAAACAATTTCTCCCCAGCAAGCTTGCCAGATATAGGGTCAATATGTATAAGACCTGTGAGAGGGCAACAGGCTATACATATAAGTTTCAGCTTTACGAGGGAAAAGATAGTCACGTGGAGCCCCCCAGATGCCCAGACTACATGGGGAACAGTGGCAAGATAGTTTGGGACTTGGTGTCATCCTTTTTTCCATATGGGGTACCACTTATACATGGACAACTTTTATTCAAGCATACCACTATTTAGACATTTGTACAATCTTGGAATTGGTGCATGTGGCACCATGTGACCTAATCGCCAGGGCTTCCCCCAACAGTTTGTAAATACCCGTCTTAGAAAGGGGAAAAAAGCCTGCTTGAGAAACGAGGATGTCATTCAGCTGCAGCACCTACTTGTTTATTCTGACAGCAACAGGGTTTTGCTCTCAGAATATATATAAGTAGGTGTGTGCAGTGATGTTGGATGAGATTTTTTATCTGAAGTTAAAAAAGAGCATGTATGCCAAAGTATGGGGGCCTGGGGTGGCCAGTGGGTGGATGGCCCCTATACTTCGGCATATATATTTTATAATATTTTTTGGCACATTTCATGTGTGCCCACCATTAGAAGTGGGTGGATGCAGGGCGGTATATTCTATAGGTGGGCATACCACACACTTTTTCTGGCAGATATTTCTTCTCTTTTTTTTATTCAGCCTACAGGCTGTATAAAAAAAAAAGAACATAACATATACACCCAACAAGGAACAGCGACGTACTGGTAAATCACTGGACTTTGAGTGGTTATACCAGGATGATGCCTGCAGCTGCAGGCATCATCCTGGTATCGTTTTTTTTCAGCCGGTGGTCGGCTTTCATGTAAAAGCAATCCTAGTGGCCAATTAGCTGCAGGATTGCTTTTACAAGCAGCGGGAGAAGATGCCCCCCCCCCTGCTGCCTTCCATGGCCTTCTCGGGCAGTCCCGTGGCTCCGGGGTAACCAGAGAATGCAGCCAGTGTTTCTGCCAGCTGACCATAGAGCTGATTGGAGACTGGAATGGTGCCAATCATCTCTATAATCTAAGAAATTGGAAGCTACGACATTTCATCACTTCAGTTTCGCAGGATAAAAACAGCGCCATTTGTAAATTGGGAAAGCATCTGATCACACCGTTCTTGCTGAGATTAGATAATGTAAGGGCAGAGGAGATATCTAGAGTCTAATAGACCCCAGATTTCTTAAAAAAGAATATATGACAATGCCCATCGAAGTTATAGGGGATATTTGCATTCCCTGTGATAACCTTATAAGTGATCAAACAAAAAAAAAATGAAAGGGACAGTGTAAAAATAATGACAAAAATCAAAATAACTTATTAAACAAAAAAAAAAGCACCCTCGCCCCCATGTGCTAACCTGCATTGGCGAGTGTTGACCCTGTGCCAGTATGTAAACAGCAGTTGCACCATGCATGTGAGGTATCGCCGCGAATGTCAGATCAAGGGCAGTAATTCTTGCACTAGACCTCCTTTGTAAATCTAAAATGTTAGCAAGTAAAGGCTATTAAAGTGTTGCCTATGGATATTAAAAATGTATGCAGTTTGTTGCCATTGCACGGGGCATGTGCAGTTTTAAAGTATGCCATGTTTGGTATCCATTTACTTGACATACCATCATCTTTTATATCCTACCAAATAATTGCAAATATATTGTGTTTTTGTGCATTAAAAGTAAAAAAGTGTATTTTTAAAAAAAAAATTGTGTTTGAAAAATCTCTGCGTGAGTACTATGTGACATACAAAATTGCAGCACCCACCATTTTATTCACTAGGGTGTCTGCTTTAAAAAAAACATATGTGTTTGGGGGTTCAACAAATACTGATTTTTTTTTTTCATGTGAACAAAAAGTGTCAGAAAAGGTTTGGTCTTCAGGTGGTTAGAATAGTGAGTGATGTGTGGCATAAACTTCTAATGCTGGGCATAAAATGCCCCCACCCCCCAAAACGACCCCTTTTTGGAAAGTAGACACCCCAAGCTATTTGCTGAGAGGCATGTTGAATCAATAGAAGAATTTATTTTTTTACCACAAGTTTTTGGAAAATGACAAAAAAGACTTTTTTTTTACACAAAATTGTCACTTAAATGATTTATTGCTCACACATGCCATGGGTATATGTGGAATTACTCCCCAAAAAATACATTCTGCTACTTCTCCCAAATATGGGGGTACCACATGTGAGAGACTTTTTTGGCAGTCTAGCCATGTACAGGACCCCAAAATCCAATAAGCACCTTCAGGCTTTTAACCTTCCTGGTGGTATGATTATTCCAGATTTTTGGTGCTGAAAGCGGTACCATTTTTTTGCATGGAAATTTGGCATTTTATATTGTAGGCCTGTAATTTTTAGGAATAACTCACTGAAATCTGTGCAAACAAGAGTCTAGTAAACATCCCAGGTATGTTAAAATTTGAAACGCGAAATCATAAATTATAATTTAATAAATAATCATAAAAAATAATAATAATAAATTTAATTCAATAAATATAATCAAACCAAAAACACTGAAATTTGAAATATAGCGCCAAGCTCGCACATCACTGATCTTAGTCGCAAAATCTTTTTCAGTGTCTGATGACGAATTTCCCCACAAATCATTATCACTCAATTCTGCAAGTAGTTCTAATTTACTATCGCCGTTCTCTAGCTGGTCTAAAACTGTTTTTGACCTAAAGGGACGCTTTTTGGACGCCATGGACGTTTCTCAGTTTCCAGGCAGAAAGAACAGTAAAAATGCAGGCAGGGCACAGGACAAAGCACTAGGGACAAAATGTATGTGAAATGGTTTGATACATTAATGTTTTACTATGTGATTTTAGTGAATGTCACTTTTTGTCATTTTCAAATTTCCCGCCGTTCCGTCCCCCCGTACGTCCCGACGCTCGCAGGGGACAGAACCCAGATGACAGATGCTGGCATCCGCCGGATTACATTGCTGGGGACATTGCAGGAGGGACATCGCGGGAGCGCAGGACAAGGTAAGTGATTGAGGGATCGTGGAGCAGCCTGAGTGTAGCTCGGGGTTACCGCTTGTGGTGCTGAAACTTTACCCCGAGCTACACTCGGGAATACCGCCAGGGAGGTTAAAGGGCTTTATTTCCTCATTACACTTCCTGACTACCTATCACAGTTTCGGAGGCCCTGAAATGTCAGGATAGCACCAAATCCCCCCAAATTACCCCTTTTTGGAATGTAGACACCCCTAGAAATCTGATAAGAAGCATGGTGAGTATTTTGCAGATCTCGTTTGTTGCCACAAGTTTTTGGAAAATGAAGAAAACAAAAACATATTTTTTCTTTTCTTTTTTTATATTTCAAAACCTTGTAAAAAAAAATGAGATCTGCAACATACTCACCATGCATCTTTTTAAATTCCTTGAGGTGTCTACTTTCCCAAAAGGGTTCATTTGGGGGGGGTTTGGTGTTCTCCTGGCATTTCAGGACCTCCGAAACTGTGATAGGTAGTAAGGAAGTGAAACGAGGAAGTTACTTCAGGCTTTCAAAGTGGTCATTGGATTTCAGGCTCCTGTATGAGGCTAGGCTCCCAAAAAGTCTTATACATCCCCGTACTCGGTAGAAGTAGCAGAATGTATTTTGGGGTGTAATTCCACATATACCCATGGCATGTGTGAGCAATATATCATTTAAGTGACAACTGTGTAAAAAAATAAAAATGTTTTCCACAAAGACTTGTGGAAAAAAAATAAATCTTCCATGGACTCAATATGCCTCTCAGCAGATAGCATAGCATGTCTACTTTCCGAAAAGGGGTCATTTAGGGGTGTTTATACTGTCCTGGTATTTTAGCACCTAAAGAAATGTGATAGGCGGTCAGAAAGTAAAAGCTGTGTAAATTCCATTATCTATACCATAGTTTGTAGATGCTATAACTTTTATACAAAGCAATCAATATACACTTATTGGGACTTTTTTTAACAAAAACATATAGCAGAATACATTTTGGGCTAAATTTATGATGAAATTTGAGTTTTTTGGACCATCTCCTGTACTACGCCAGCAGTCTCTCTGACCCTCTCCTGTACACAGAGCATTTAATAGCTCTACCCAGGCTTCAGCTTCAAAACTTAAGTTCAGCCCTTGCATTTGACACAAGACTTGGGCCACAAGGCCGTCAAGTCTTGCACAAACTCCTCTTTCCAGTGTGGTGGACATCTGTTGCAGTTTGTCTGTCTCTGGTCACAAATGTTCCAGGCCTGTGGGTTAAATCAGTGGTTTCAAAGGAGTACAAAATACCTATCTCGTATCCCAGGGAGTAATTGTGCCAGTACCTCCACAAGAAAGATTCAAAGGTTTCTATTCAAACCTGTTCGTAGTACCAAAGCTTTCAACCAACCTAAAATCCCTGAAAAAATACCTTCAAATTCTCAAATTTCGCATTGAATCCACAAGGTCAGTTATTGCCTCTCTGAGACAAGGCGAATACCTGGCATCCATAAATATCCAAGATTCCTTTTTGCATATTTCCATTTATCCACCTCATCAGCATTTTCTATGCTTTGCGGTGACAGGCAATCATTTTCAGTGTGTCACCAGTAACATTTGGCCCATCCTGGCTAGCAAATTTAAATACACTAAATAAACTCAAGCTGAACTCCAGTTAACATATTTTAAGCAGTTACAGCAATAGTTTCTTTTTCTTCTGGTATAAATGCTTTACATAAATACAAGTTAATCATTGTAAGCACCCCTATCAGTGGTAAGTAGTTTGTCTCAACCCTCTAACTACTGCATCTGCTGGACAGCTTATTCTGTTGAAAAACAACAGACTTACTGGCAGGATTACCAGGTGAAAATAACAGGAAAGAACACTTAAAAAGAAAACAAATGCAGCCACCTGCATCTGTAAGCTACAATATAATATTTGCTTTTAGGTTTAATACTGCTTTAAGCACTCCAGCTTTATTGAGGTGTATCTCACATGTGTATCTCACATTAAGCCCCCCATGCAGCACCCTATTCTTCCATGGGATCTCAGATTGATTCTCTTTGGCCTGCAGAAACTACCCTTTGAACTCATCAAGGATGTCCCCTGGATGACCTCTCCTGCAAAGTGGCCTTTTTGATCGCTATAGCATCTGTCAGACATGTCTTTGAATTGGCAGCTCTCTCTTTTAAGGAGCTGTTCCTCATTCATCACAATGACAAGATAGTCTAACACCCAAGACTATCCTTTCTTCCTAAGGTGAGAGGTCTTCAACCTCAATGAAGACATAGTCCTAACATCCTTGTGTAGCACCTTCCTAGTGAGCTAGGGGAGCTAGACCTCAATTGTTAGCTAGTCCCCGAAACACAACAGATTCCTGACACTGCTAGCAGTCGTAACTCTCCACGTTCTTTGACCATCAGTCTTTTCTGTTATGCTTTTTACCTTTGATATTTGTGAGTATGCATTTGGATTTTCATTGATTTTTTTACAATAACTGTTGGGTGGTGTGCTAGGCCCCCTGTGTGTATTTTTTCAGTTTGTGTTTGGATTCCTCTGTCTGAGGAGGGCTGCACTGCTTAATCACTATCCTGGAGGAATACCATCTTCACTATACATTCCAGTCTGGTGAGTTTGCTTTTGAGCACTGGAAAAGGTGTTCGTAAGGCTGAGTAGCAGCCTGGGTGTGATAGCTAGCAGGGGTCAAACTTTGGTCAGAGCTGAGAGGCTCTGCAGACCAGCCCTCTGGAATTTCCCCCTGCTCTAGAATTCTGGAAAAATGTCCAGAAGCAGTGGGTGGATCTGAGGAGTGGTTGATCTTTTGAGGGAGATTGGCCAATCCCCAATAGGAGGCTTGGCAAGGGGCCAGGACAACCCTTAAAAGTGATTGAGCCTGCTCAGCTGCAGAGAGAAAATGACAGAGAGAAAATGTGAGGCTGAAGCAGGAGCCTGGGAGGGGGCCCAGATGGAGACAGGGGCTCACCTACAGGCAGTGGAGCTGGGAAAGATGAAAACTCAGCCTCACCATCACCCAGAGTGTCCTCACTGTGTAGCAGGGAAGGAGCGGGCCAGCTAGAAGGCCTGGTAGCAGCCAACCCCCCAGCCGCACAGGAGAAGGACTGAGTGAGTAGACCTGCACCCCCTGGTCCAGATAGGGGAAGGAGCAGTCTGGTGGGAAACCAGATTCGCCACCTATTGGGCTGCCTAAATGTTTAAAGTGATAGGTACCAGATCTCCTGCTCAGAGATACCTCCACACAGCTGAGCAAAGAAGAGGAGTTTGTATGGGGTGGTACTACGAGAGATGCTGGCTAGCTCTCCGAAAGAGACTGTTGTCCTCAGTTCATCAGTAACATTGGGCATCTCATATAACCCGCCTGCCCCATCCAAGTTGAAATCCACTTAATAGGGCACCAAAAAAAACAAGCTGAAGGATTGATTACTGACTCCTGGATGCAAGTCTGTGG